TAGTGTAGACTGTTCCTTGACAACATCTTTCATTTTCTCTTTACCTTTATTTTTTAATAAAATGTCTATTTTCATATTAGCAATTGAAATCACTGACTGAAGATATAACTCCGTGGAAAATACAACAGAATTGAGTAGAAAATTTAATGGTTTACTTATTTTTACCGCTAATAAGTTTTCAATAGATGTTATGAGTTGGAAGTTTTTCAATAATTCATGTTCTTCAACTTTTTCTCGAATTTCAACATCAACATTATAAAGATATTTTACCTTTTTTACAAAATCATTCTCAGTTTTTAAAGATTTATGGAGAGTATTTCTATATTTCAATAATTCTTTCTTCGTTCTTTTCACTTCATCTTCATTTTTAATCGAATTATCTAACACTTTTTTCATTTTATCAAATTTTTTCTCAAGAATGTTTTTTATTTCCTTAATTGCTATATTTGCGTGTAATGTCTCCGAAGATTGAAATAAACCAAGCTTTAAAGAATTTGAAATACTTGGACGTAAATCTTGTAGAGAACTTTTAGGAATAATTTTTGATTTTTCAATAGCAGTGAAAATATTAAAATCGATTTCAGAAGTAACATCACCGTCATGTGACATTTCTTTTAAGAGTGCAATACGATCATTGTTAGCCAATAAAAATCGGGTAAAATTTTTCGATACTTGGGACCATTTCAATCCAGAGTCATTTAAAAAATGCTTCTCTAAATGATACCCTATGTATTTATAATCAACTGGAATTTCACTAGTGTTTCGAACTTTAGTGAAAATTACCGAAGTACTTGAAAAATATTCCTCGAAATGATTTCCAAAAATATTTTCCATGGCTGTTAGAAGTGACAAATAATTTTTTCTATCATCTTCTATGTCCCTAATGTTAATAACTAAAATAATTTTTAGAGATTTAACATTTTTTATCAATTTAAAAAAATAAAAACTCCTAACGATGTCTTGCATTTCTTCTTCATTGTCGTCCATATCGGGAGCATCCCACAGGGTTAAATCGTTCAATTTTTTTGAACTCCATCTTGTCGGAATTGTATTTTTTGATTGTGATCCACTACCCATTTCCGGTCCTTTAGATCCATTTTCAACTTTCATTATTTTTAGTGGTTCAAATTGCGAAATTTTTACAGCTTTTAGTTTGTTGCCGATTAAGTAATTAATTAATGTACTTTTGCCAGAGTTTGTATTGCCGAATAAAATGACCGAATCTTCATTTTTCGGTTGCTTATTCAAATATTTCTCCGATTCCAAAAGGGATTTTTTTAAATTCTGTAAATTAATTTTTGAAGCATCATAATTGCTGCCATTTGCCAGTGAAATTATTATGCAAACGATTGCTAGTCGGATCATGATTGATCGATGATATTCTTTGTAGACGTTTATAGTACGAGTGCTTACTAATCTGGTTAAGTAGATTATTTTATTTTGAAAAGTAATTTATTTCTGAAAAGTAAAAAGAATTAACTGTAATAATTTGAATGTTCTTTCATTCATTCACTTTTTCTATCTCTCACACTCTGAAGTTATCTTTTGTTTATACTTTTGTTTTTGTTTTTTTTAAACTTCAGATAGATTGAATATTATATTATTATATGTTATAATTATTTTTATTTTATAATTAATTCAAAATTCAAATGACAAATAGAAATTATCAGAATTTTTTGTCACTTCTTTTCATTAAAAGACTAAAATTTTGTTAAATATTATTTTTTGTTAATTTGAAATTATGCAGATTTTTGTTCTTTACTTCTAAAGAAAATTAGAAAATTGTTAAGCAAATGTGAATAAGAAATAGAAAATTTATTTATTTTTCATTATTTTTGTTTATGAATCACAATTTTTCTAACAAAATTATTATTTTGTTTTAGAAAAAGAAGAAAAATATTTGCAAAATTCCTATTTTTAATCTTATTTTTGGAACAGGATTTACCACAGGAATTTAGAAATTCAAAACATTTAAATTCAAACCTTTTTTAAATTAAACAACTTATAAAAGTATTGTTATAAAACATGAAGCAATCGATATCTTCATGTTTTCTAATAATTAAAGATGACCGAGAGATAAAATCATTATTTTACATCATAAGAATATAATTAAATTATTTTTTATGAAAAAAATAATTATTGAATTCCATAGAAAAAATTTATTATTTATGAAAATAATTAAATGTTAATAAAATTAATTTTTATTAAAAATTTTCGAAAATAATTGAAATTAGGACAAGAATTTTTTTGACATTTATGAAAATAATTGAACTTTGAAGAATTTTGTTATTTATAAAGATAATTGAGATTTTTTTTCTCAAATTTTGAATATAGTTGAATTTTATAAGAAGAATTTAAATTTTTTTCTTGAAAATAATCGAATTCTTGTGAAATTTTTATTATTTATGAAAATGATAAAATGTTTTTATACAATTTCATTAAAAAATTTTTAAATAATTGAATTCTTTTTGGGAAATTTTATTAAAATAGTAGATATTGAAAATCATTTAAATTAGAAAAATTTTTGAAAATAATTGAAATTAGGACAAGAATTTTTTTGACATTTATGAAAATAATTCAACTTTGGAGAAGAATTTTGTTATTTATAAAGATAATTGGGATTTTTACAAGAATTTTTTTCAAATTTTAAACATAGTTGAATTAAATTTTTTTTTAAATAATTGAATTTCTGCAATTATTTTTAATTTCACTAAAATTGGATTTTTTTAGTGTTTTCAACAAAAATTTAAATTAGAAAATTTTTAAATTCTATTATATTAAAATTTTTAATATTGCTAATTTTATTTAAAAAAGGTAGTAAGAAATTAACTGAGCACTTTAACGCGCGAATTGTTGCTAGTATTTTTTAAAATTCTATGAAGATGAGTCAATATAAGTGCAGAATAAACAAACATATTTCATAAGAAAATTATTTTATGAAAATTTATATTATTTTAAACTTGTTTACCTGTAAGAAAATTTTTTCTTTGGACTGCAATTGATAACTTTATATTTTTCCACTATAAAACAGTTATTTCTATTACAATAGCTGTCAATTGTACTTATTTCTTTTCAAAAATCCGTTATAACTTATAAAATGTTAAACTTTTTCACTTTGATCTATTAAAAATTTTGGTTTAACAGAAGTAAATTTTTGCTGACAACTGAACGTTTCTTTCATAAATATTTTATAATTTTACAAAATTTTTTATTAGAAAGAAAACTTTGAATATTATATGCTGTTTTACAGTAAAACATTTGTAGATAAGTCGCCAATAATAAAAAATGAATAATTTTTTAGTTTAAAAAGTATTACATTTTTTTTATCTATATAAAGTAAGAAAATGTCGTGTATTATAAATGTTTTTTACAATGATATCAACGTTAGCAAGTATTTTATAGTTTTTTATTTATTTTTATTTATTTCATAGTAAAAAGAATTTTGTTAAATTGAATAAAGAAAATTTATCTTTTTTGATTGCTTACACAAAAATTATTTTAGATTTTTATTAGATATTTATTTATTTATTAGATTATTAGACATTTATTTATTTATTAGTAGGTATTAGTAGGGGAACATAGTCTAGGTCGGCCACCTTTTTGACTTTTGTTTATAACTTTTTTTTAAAAATGAATTTGGACAATTGAAGTATATGGTTGGAAAGTCCTGTTTAATAGGAACATTTTTTCTGTACAAAGTAAATTGACAGGTTTAAAAATGAAAAAGTTATAAAGATTTAAAAAAAAAAAAATTTGTAGTCCAGGTTGGCCATTACAGTCAAGGTCGGCCATGTTTAAAATTCAAAGGGCATTAATCGTTAAAAAAAAAAATAACATGTTTGGAGTTACGGAAAATTGATTCTTTATTGTTTACAGCTTGTAACTTAATGAAATAATAAAATAATAAAAATAAACAATATAAAAAAGTAAATATAAATAAAAAAAAATTTTGCACTAAAATATTAATAAAATTAAATAAAAATATTAATAAGATGATCAATTATATTATGAGTTATACAGAATTGCAGTTTTTGCAAATGAAGTAGCTCGTCCTCAACTTTGCGCATTTTAAACACATAGTGGCCGACCTTGACAGTAAGTAACATTACCGAATTGTTGTAACCATAAAGAAATACGTTTCGGGATTCGATTTTTTACTTTGTTTTCCTTTCAACCATGAGTCCCACAAATTTTCTGCATACTTGCCTTGACGATTCAATTTGTTTTTTATCTTTTATTAATGGTTTTTCACATTATGCACAAAACTTTTTTTGAGCTTTTTTTGTACCGACGTCACAGAAAACACAATTTTCGATTTTCCGAAAATGTAATTGAACAAAAAGTTAGGTTTCACTAAGACAAGCTTCGACAAAAATGCGCGTAGGTGGCGCTAGTGAACTTGACAAAAAAACGCGAGTGGCCTACCTAGACAGTAGGCCAACCTTGACTACATTCCCCTACTGGAAAGAAATATTGTCTTTTTAACAAAAATTCTTTTATTGTCAGAGAAAAATAATTACAGTGTATTCTGTAAACATTTTAAGTTCGTTATTTCTTTTTTTGAAGTTTTGAAATTATAAAATTTTTGGTTCTTATTTTTCGGGGTAATTTTTAATAATTATATTACAAAATGGAAAATAATTAATTATAATAATTATTAATTTACTAATTAATTTAATAAAATGAATAAACACTTTTTCTTAAGTTTAAATTAACCATCAATAACATATAAAAAATTTGACTCTTAAAAGATTTTTTGTAACCTAAAATCAAAACGATTATGTTTATTATTTTTTAATCTTAAGTAAACATTTTCTATTATTACAATTTAAAAAATTGGATAGAAAGGAATTTTAATTACTTTTATTTTTAAAATTTATATTTCTGAAATTTTTTTTTACGATATTGTTTAAATTAAAATTATTATTCTCTGTTCTAATATTATAAAATAAAAAATATAAAATGGTAATTAAAAATAATAAAAAATTCCTTTATGGAGTTCTGTAAATTAAAATAGAAATTAAGTTTTATTAATTTTACTTTTTAGAAAAAGAATTTGAAGAATATTTTAAAAATTATTATTCCTTTTAATAATTTTCATGAATCTAAACTTTGAAAGAAAAAGACTGATAGTGTTCAATTTTTAAATAGAAATGTTGGAATAAAATTTACCAAAAGAATTTTGATAATTTTCTGTATTTTATTAAATAGATAATTAATAAAATGTGGTAGAAAATTTAAAGAAAATGATTAGTTTTATTGGTGAAATTAAGAAAGTTCTCTTACTAGAAAGAGCGAAACTTGAATTTTGTTAATAAAGTTATAATACCTTTGTGCAATAAAATCCGATATACTCATATGACTATCATTCATTACTTGCACATATACTTTCTTTAATAATGAAATCTTTTGAATCTGCTCGTTAATTGTATTTCTCAAGTACTTCCTATTCAATTTTTCCATTAAAACTTCCAATTTTAAAGTAATCATGGAAGTCAGTGATTCAACTTTTAACAATGAAGAAAATACAACATCGTATAGACTGGACTCTAATGATTTAGTTATATTTATATTTAATGTGCTTTCAATAAACGTTAAAAGTTGAAAATTTTGCAAAAGTCTACTCTCTTCAATTTTTTGTCTAATTTTCACATCAACTGGGTAGAGAGATTTTATTTTCAATTCAAAGCTATATCCACTATCCAAAGATGACTGAAGAATACCTCCAATTAGGTATAATTCTAAATGCATTTTCTGTATCATATTTGATTTAATGGCCAAATTGTTTGCGTCTACAATATATTTTTCGATCTTTTCTGCGAGAATAATTTCAATTTCTTTAATTGATAATTCCAATTGTAATTTTTCCTGGGAGTAGCTCAAACGAAGCTTTAAAGAATTTGAAATACTTGGACGTAAATCTTGAAGAGAACTTTTAGGAATAATTTTTGATTTTTCAATAGCAGTGAAAATATTAAAATCGATTTCAGAAGTAACATCACCGTCATGTGACATTTCTTTTAAGAGTGCAATACGATCATTGTTAGCCAATAAAAATCGGGTAAAATTTTTTGATACTTGGGACCATTTCAATCCAGAGTCATTTAAAAAATGCTTCTCTAAATGATACCCTATGTATTTATAATCAACTGGAATTTCACTAGTGTTTCGAACTTTAGTGAAAATTACCGAAGTACTTGAAAAATATTCCTCGAAATGATTTCCAAAAATATTTTCCATGGCTGTTAGAAGTGACAAATAATTTTTTCTATCATCTTCTATGTCCCTAATGTTAATAACTAAAATAATTTTTAGAGATTTAACATTTTTCATCAATTTAAAAAAATAAAAACTCCTAACGATGTCTTGTAGTTCTTCTCCATTGTCGTCCATATCGGGAGCATCCCACAGGGTTAAATCGTTCAATTTTTTCGAACTCCATCTTGTCGGAATTGTATTTTTTGATTGTGATCCACTATCCATTTCCGGTCCTTCAGATTCATTTTCTGCTTTTATTATTTTTAGTGGTTCAAATGGGGAAATTTTTACAGCCTTTAGTTTGTTGCCGATTAAGTAATTAATTAGTGTACTTTTACCAGAGTTTTTATTGCCAATGAAAATAACTGAATCTAAATATGTTACTTCAGACTCTATATTTTGGCTCGCAACTTGAAGGGATTCTTTTAAATTTTCTAAATTAATTCCATACGAGTCATAACTTTTTCCAGTCACGAGTGAAATTAGTATGCAGGCAATTAATAGTCTAATCATGATTAATCAATGATAATCTTTTTCCGAAACTAGTACTAATCTAGTTTTAACTAATTTCTAAAAAGTAAAAGAAAATCATTAAAAATAGGAGAAATTTTTGGTTTCATTACTCATGTGTTTAACAAAATTACTTTTTGTTTCTTTTACTAAATTTTCGATTCTACTTTCTAAATTAGAATTAGTAGTTTTTAATAGTTAGAAAATACCGAGACGTATACCAATTAAAAAGTAAAGAATTTACTAATTTTAACAGTTTTCTACTAAAAATTAGTAAAATCTTTACTTTTAATTTAATAGATAAAAATTACTATTTTGATTGTAAAATATCTATTGATTAAAAGAGTGAATTAATTAACTAATTAAAACAAAACCCTAAAAATGGATAAAAAAGCAAGAAATCTTCAGGGTCGGACCCTTTGTACAGTGAAGGTTGGACCCCCTTTACATAACTCCTTACTTTTTTGTATTTTGTATTTCTATACATATTTTTTTTTTTTTGCTTTAGAACTTGTAAACAATAATTTTTGATAATTCAAATTCTTCTGAAATTAATTAAATTTTTTAATACATATTTAATTAATTATTAGAAATAATGGATTAATGGAAGAATTTTAGCTTAAAACACTAAAAAAAAAATTAAATTTTGGAGAAGTTACTAAATGATTGCAAAAATTAAATTATTATTTAAAAGTAATAAAATACTTCTTAGAAATTAAATTGTGTTTAAAAATTTAAAAAAGTTCTTGTCAAAATTTCAATTATCTTTATAAATACTAAATTTTTTGGCAAAATTTCAATTAATTTCAAAAATTTGTCAAAATTCAATTATTTTTAATATCTACTGTTTTAATAAAATTTTCCAAAAGAGAATTCTTTTGGAAAATTAATATTAAAATAGTACATATTGAAAATAATTGATATTGTAATAAAATTCTACGCAAACAGGTAATTATTTTCATGAATAAAAAAAATTTCACAGGTATTCAATTATTTTCATAAATAAAAAATTCTTTTTAGAAATTCAATTATTTTCATAAATAATAAAACTCATCACATAATTTCAATTATCTTTAATATAATTTTACTCAAACTCCTCGTAAAATGTAAATATTCTTAAAATTTTTTATTAAAATTGCTCATAAGAATTCAATTATTTAAAAATATGATTTATTTATTGATAAAATTCTTTATGAAACGTCAATTTTAAGAAATATTCAATTGTTCAATAAATTATTTATTTTCATATTTAAAAAATTGAATTCTCGAAGAATTTTCTAATAAAAATTTTTTTGAAAATGAATTTTAGTTTAAATTTTAGATAATAATTGGAATATTGGAAACATTTGAGGATGAATTTTTAGAAAATTTTATAATTTCAAACCTTTCAGAAAATGTTTCCTTTACAGTTTAACAGTTTTTGTTAAAACACTGAGAATATTTAACACTTTATTCTTCTGTATTTTGCTTTAAACAAATGGATTATTGCTGACAATTGTGTTTTTAATAAAAAAATTGATAATTTCACTAGATTGTTTATTTACAAAAGCCTTGAATATTATTATGTGCAGATAGCCAGTAGAAAAGTTGAAGATAAATCGACAATATTAAACTTTCATAAATTTTTAGTGAAAAATATATAAAATTTTTTTATCTTTACAGATAGATAGTGCCGTTTGTTGCAAAAATTGTCTTTTACATTAAATTCTATATCAAAAAAGTATTTAAAAAAGTTGAAAATTTTTTTATTAAATTGTAATTAAATTCAACGCCTAAATGTTAATATTTAATTTTAAATATTTATTATTTTAGGAAATTTTAGTTTAGATTTTATTTTTAAAGAAAAGAATTTGTAAAAGAAATTTTACAATAGATGGAAAAATTTTTAAATAACAATGTACACATTGAGTCTCGTGAAGAAAAATATTTCTAAAATGAGAATGAGCGAAAGAGAGAGACAGAAAATCCTTGACAAAACTTTTTCGATCGCAAAAAATAAGGTTAAACTTTTGTTCTTTAAAAAGTAGTAGTAGTAGTAGTAGTAGTAGAAGAAGAAGAAGAAGGAAAATGTGTTTTCAAATTCATCGATTTTAAAGTGGTTTGGAATAAATTTTGTTTCTATTCAAAATGAATGTAAGAAGGAATTTTTTTTCGCTAGTTTTTTTGTTAGTAGAAAAGGATTTTTTTGTCAGACGAATTATGTTAATTTTTTGAAATTTCTATCTTGAAGAAAGAAGATACTTGTAGTTAGATTTCTTGAAAGACAGACTTTTTGAAATTTTGCTTTTTATAGTAGAGATGTATTTCAGTAAGATTTAAACATTTTTTCGTAGATTAACTTTAAGTAGTAAAAACATGTGCTTTGTTGAACATAAAGATTTTTGAATCCTAATAGAATTTTTATATTTACAATAAATGTTTTTATTATTATTATCATTAAGCCCTGAAATCCTAATTTGTATTACTCTTATTTAAAGAGTAAAAATTTCTGAAAATTTCTCCTTAGTAGTAAATGTATATTTAATTTTTTCACTAAAAAAAAATTGTTTTTAAACATTAATTTGTTAAATTTTTGCCTAATTTTATCATAAGTAGTGTAAGTCAATTTTAGTCGGACTTGACAAATTTGGTGTCATTCTTATTTTTGCTTATCAGTAGTAATAAAATGCTTCAATTCAGACAATTATTCCTCTTAGTGCTTAGCGCAATCAAAGAAGAAAATTATAATCATACAATTTTACCTTTTGTTGTTTAGCAGAAATAATGAAGAGACTTTAAACAAACCGTGTATACATAGTTCCGTTAGGTAAATGAATGTCGAGAATCTGAACAACCGTAATGTTTGGAATAATTGAGTTGAGTTTGTGCTTTATTAAAACATCGACACACTGCAAGCTCAGTAGAGGATCGTGGAAAGCTGCATGCGTTGATCTATGTCCGTTATTCGGTACTCACAAAATCGTATCTACCAGTGCAGTTGGCTATATACATATATAGTATTATAGTAGCTGCATAACACTGGCCATTTTCCATACTGTGCCTCACGTTTATGCTGTCGTGTGCGTCCGACGATGTTTTGAATTCGGTGAGCGTGAAATCAAATTTCTAACGATCGGAACAATTTCGTACCTAGTGTACATCGTTTGGTTTGCTGGAGGTCAAATATATTTTGTATAAAACCAGGTCATTCGACATTTTTATACTATATATACAATTTAGACGTATGTATGTTCTATCTGCGTGTATTTTCGGGTCATTTGCTCCCATTGAACACTTTTTTCCCCTATCGCTTGGTTGGTTTTTTTTTATCTCAATATGTCATTTGGTAGTCGATAATTTTAGGATTGCGAGGAACTAATTTTATTTTATTTCTTTAATAATAATTGCTACAATTTTATGCTCTCTGAATTTTAATTAATATGAACATGTTTATTAATTTAAATCAGTGACTGACTTTTTGTTTCTGAATTAGTAAATTTGACTAATAAATAGCAAAAATTATTAAGAGAAAAGTATTACTATTATATCTAATATTCGATAATTTCAATTTTACGAAATTAAATCTGCAAAATTAATTTTTTTTAAATATTTTTAAATATCAGTGTTTGAAGATAATTTAAAAAAATTACGAACACAAGTTTCAGAATACATTTCCATTAAAACATAGTAAATAATTATAGAGAGACGGAGAGACACAAATATTTTAAAACAAGTTGATTATTTCTAAGTGAATGTTGCGCAATCAGTAACTCCTAGTTTTGCAATCACACTTACGTAATGTGTTCATGAGAGGAAGTAGTTTATTGCATAGAAATACCCCCAATATATACATATATACAAACAATGTGTAATATCTAGGATGAATAACAATTAACAAGACACAAACACAGTGCTTGTGACGTTATTTTCAGGTGTCTGGTCTGCCAGAGAAGCGTGTTTTTGGAAAACTTTTGATGCATTCAGAACAACTTTCTGCATTAAAACAAAGCAAGCACTGCTCGTGAAAATTCTCTCGATGAAACAAACCAACTGAACTACACGAGGCAAAGAAGAGAAAACTCCTGAACCAGTTATATTACCCACCCCCCCACCCCTCCCCCTCCATCACTCTCTTCTTTCTATCCCCACCACACCAATAAAACACTGATTACTAAACACTCCACAAAATGAATTCAGTTTCAGCATAAAATAAATTAGTTTCAATGAATTTGCATCAGTACAGTGAACTCTTGACAAATTAGAAAATATTTCTCATTAAGGGTAAATTTTCGAAAATGTCTATGAACATTGCGGATATTCGAAAACCACGAATCCACTATTGCCATTGAGTTCTAAAGCGTGCAAAAGGCCACTAATAGTACTTTCGTCATTCAATTCAAAGCCAGAGTTGCAATATACCGTTAAACTGAAATTCTCCTCTCTAAATTGACAGTCTACCTGTTGCCAGAGTTTCGCAATTTATTTTATTGCCTTTTTTTGAACGCATGAGATTTATGAAAAAAAGGAAAATTTACTCCTTTTAACTATAAAAAGATGATATTTTTAGTTTGAATTTCATTATTTTGTATTTTTTTTTTTTTGCATCATTTTTCAATCTCTGAAGCGAAATATTGTCTTTTGAAAGAGAAAATTCTAATTTCAATATTTTTGTTTATTAAAAAAATTGTAAGTTTTCTTTTGCAACACATTTTTTGACATGTTTATGTTTTCTAATGGATGGGGAAAAAAGTTTTGAGAACTTTTTGAAAATTTGTATCTTACAATTTTTTTTGGCACTGGTATCAAAATTGAGTTCTGTATTTTTGCTTCGTTCTTTAATAGAAAAATAAAAAATGTTTCGATCGTCTGACTAAAACTGACTTGCACTACTTAAAAAAAATTACAATTGGACTGCGAGGTATTAAAAAGCGTTGAAGCTTAAATTGACACGAATAAAATTTAAAAGTCTGACTTACACTGAGTTATACTACTAGGCAAGAAATTGAATATAAAATCAAATCAATGTAAATAAAAAAATTGCCTCACTAAAATAAGCTATTACTCTACTGGGACTAAAAGTACAAAAACTGGAAAGTCTTACTAAAACAATACTTCCACTACTAAAGTTTTTTAATTTTTCACCCATAATCACGATTTAAAGAAATATTAGTCTGGCTGTAACATTTCCTAACTATTGATGATAAAAATTGAAAAAATGTGCAGTCTGACTATAATTGACCTACACTACTTAAGACAAAATTAAGAGAAAAATTAACAAGATTTATTTGACTAAAAAATACTTCTACTGTTTGATAGTAAAAAATACAAAAATTAGGAAGGTCTGACCATAAATCGCTTGTACCACTTAGATCATAATAAATGATTTAATAAAAATTTAGTGTAAAATATTATAAAAATATAAAATAATAGAATTCGTCTGACTAATAGATTCTTCCACTACTACAAAGAAAAAAAGACTAAAATTTCAAGAAATTGTTATTTTTGACAAGAACAAAATTTACTACTTACAACTAGTATTATTATGTTGCACAAAAAATTAATAATTTTTGTTTGAGTATAGATGAAAAAAAAATGAAAAAAATGAAAAATGAAAAATGAAAAAAATGAAAAAAAATTTATAAAACAAAGAACTGTAAAAAATACAATAAAATAAAAAAATAAAATAAACTGCAAATATTATTAGCATACTTTTAAAGTCTGACTAAAATTAACTTACACTACTGAAAGTTATTATTATTATTAGTAGTCTCTTTTTTCTGGGAACATAGTGAAAATAGATTGTAAACATATTTTTTATTTTTCTAGAGTAGATTACTAGTAGTAACAGTAGATTTTAGTCAGACTTTTTATAATTTCTGGATTTTAGTACTAGCAGTAAAAGTAGATTTAAGTCAGAATTTTTTTAATTTCTGGATTTTAGTACTAGTAGCAAAAGTAGAAATTAGGCAGACTTTATAATTTCTGGACTTTAGTACTAGTAGTAAAAGTAGATTTTAGTCAGACTTTTCATAATCTCTGGATCTTAGTACTAGTAGTATAAGTAGATTTTAGTCAGACTTTTTACAATTTCTGGATTTTAGTACTAATGGTAAAAGTATATTTCAGTAAGACTTTTTAAAATTTCCGAATTTTAGTATACTAGTAGTGAAATTATATTTTAGTCAGACTTCAATTTCAATGGAATTTAAAATCAGTAGTGTAAATTAATTTTGGTCAGACATTAAGGGTATTTAAAATTTTTAAATTAGTAGATAAATCAAGTTCCTGACAGACTTATTTTTCTCATTTTAGTTTGAAAAAAATTCACGTATTTTTCCATCAACAAAAGTAAAAAACACTTTTTATTCATATATATATATTTAAATATAAACTTGTCAACTTTAAATTATAAAAAAAAATTCTTTTATCGATTTTTGAAAAAATAACATAAATCAAATTCAATATCTAAAAATTTAAGAAAAATTCATCAGTGAAAATTTTATTTCCCGTGAATTTAAACATTGTTTTTATTTCTTTTTGGCTTTTGTCCCA